GTCCAGAAGAAACACGGTTAATTCTTCCATTTGTTGCCCGCTGCCGGCTTTCTTTTTTAAGGGACCATCTCGAATCAATTGCCGCTCAGGACTTAGGAGCTTCAAATCCTACGAAAGGGAACACCACAAGCAGATTTTCAGGATCAACGAGCAGACGAAAGAGCAAGAGCACATGAATAAACGCACCTGTGTCTCGCCACTTCTAAATATCAAGCTCTCATTCAGAGCTGTTAATCGAACGGCGTTATCGCTTCTTCCGGCAACAATATTAATCTGTTTTAAAATAGTTTTAATGAATGCAATGCTCTTTTCTAAATCTGCTCTATCTGGATGATCTTCGGGTGTTTTTCGAAGAATAGAATCTAAAAGTAGTGGGTACCGACCCATGCGGGTTGTGGGACGGGCAAGAAAAGATTGGATAGGGAGTTTACGGGACTCGGGTCGTTTCTCGCATTCCTTGAAGAGAAACATGTAATTAGAGGCGAAAATACAAGAATAGTAAGTCTTGGAACAGTCTTACCGCCAGAAATTTCCCTAAATCCGGATTTTTCGCCACCTCCGTCTCTAGCCAATGTTTACCCCATGGCTGAGTAGCACCATACTCTACGTACGGCCCTTCCAAGTTGACTACATGTCGATAAAATACGTCGCCCACTCTGTCTACGACCCAAGATTCCTGCTGCCTCCGCTGTAATGAAAGCGACAGTTGTTCATTGAGTGATCTGATGGTAAGGATATTGCCAAAAACGTCAGAAATGAATTTAGAGCGCGACTGGGGTGGAAGGAGATCGGATTCGAGAAGAGGCTGGATGAAAATCTGGATTGGTTGCAGGAATGAAGAAGGACGAAAAGGGTCACGACTTTAGTATAAATCAAGGTGGATCAAAAGCCAAAAAGAATGCTACCTTTTCAACGGAATCAAGGTCATTCACGAATTGCTCTTCTGAATGTATCAATTCGAATATAACTTCTTGTCTTTTGACAACTTCTTCCGTCGCATTTAACCTAATCTCTTCCGGGACGTATGTAGACCAAAATTTTTCCTTTGAAATCGTAAAAAGTTCGAGTCAGGTCCTGTGAAGTGCAGTCGGCTTATAACTCTTTCTCTTACCTCTTGGGCTTGAGCCTCGGGCAAAGAAGCTTCACTCTGCGATCGTTTCATAGAGGAAGTAGCGCTGATATGCCGACTTTGCTGTATTCGAGAAGACCAAAAAGAATTGGATAAAGGGTGTCAGAATAACCAATAAGCACAAACCACAACAGGAATCAAGAATAGGATTTCAATCTTGGTACCTGTTCGAGGCGCCTTGGACAAGCAATACTATAGCATATTCTTTCCCGGGAACAGGTAGAACTATAACAGTCTGTCAAAATTGTGAAAACTCCAGTTGGCAGGTCTTCCTCGTCATCAGGCGACAACAAGTTCGGTGAACTGTCATCTCTGGGTGTAGATTGCGTTGTCGGAGTATCGGGTTCGTTCTCAGCTAGTGATAGACTGGATGAGGAGCCGACCAGAGTGGATAAACGATCTTGGAATTTATAGAGTTCGTTCGAGGAATCACGCAACCTGTGGGTATAGGTGACGTCGTAAAAGAATTTCTGTGCATCGAGAGCCCGTCCGACTAGCAGAGCCAAATTTCTATCTCCCGTTCGAATGATGAGGGATAAGAGATCCTACAAGTATAGTAGGCATATTTAAGAATTAGCATTGTCAAGAATTGTCTAGGCTCGGGAGAGGGAAAGAGACATAAAGGAGTGACGGGTATTTATAATTTATAGTTTATGAATGCGTCGGATGTACTTTGCCACCGGGGAAAGGAGGGGCAAATTTGGGGGCCGACATAGTGCATATTTTATATTAGGCAGACATAGCACTGAAATAAAAGCTTTTTGAAGATTGAAAACGGGGGTTATTGAATTTGACGTACCACGGCATCACGACCGACAAAGCAATTTTTGTATTCTAGGGAATCTTTGATTTGGTTTGTGAGTGGAATTCTCTGTTTGAAGATGATTGCGACTTTTGACAAAAGAGCCGGGTAGATGAGGGGTATCGTGCCTACTCTTGTGTTTCTCGGTTGTTGTTGCGATTGGTGGGGAGTGACGAGGGGTTCGGAGTGCGAGGCGGAGGAGGCTGAGCGTTTGGTTCTTCCCTTTGAGCGAAGGGAGAGCGAGTCCATGTGGGGGTATGGGGTAGTGAGTAGGTAGCAGAGTGGAGATGGGGAGAGAGAGGAGGAGCGATAGGAATCAAATGGCGGAGGGGAAGAGGGGGATCATGTCGTGGCCAGCAGAGCAGAGTGGAACACAGTATAGAGTAAGTGGAGTAGAGTAGAGCAGGGAACAGAGGGAATGGCGATAGAATGTGTGTAGAATGCGGGCAGTGTATAGAGTAGAGGGAGCGAATAGAACAGAGTAGTCAGTGTGGAAGAGCGAAGGAGGGAACGCCACTTGGAATATCACGGAGAATGCGACCCGGCTGTCTGGTGTTTGCTTGCTGTCCGCATCGGTCTATCCATCTACCTATACACACTCTATACACAATCTATCTACTCTATCTATATCTACACTCGACTCTCTCTATACTATGCTCTGCTCCACATTGCCTCTCCTCCTCCCCTGTCCCTCGGACTCGCACTCCCTCCTCTACCACGGAGTCATCTCTCTCAACGTACGTACCACTCATTCAACCCAATCTACCAACCCACTCACTCACTCTCACTCCACTCCCAAACTAGGACAACGAATTCAGATTCAGAATACTCTGTCCATCCTCCAATCCCCACTCTCGCACCACCAATCTAGCAAACGCCAAAATCAAAGTCTGCCCAAAACTCAAGGCCCTCATCCCCAAAGAAACCCTTCATACGATCAAGCAGGTACATACATCTGCTGTCTCTTCTCTTACGCCACCCGCTACCTCCAGTGCACTAACCAGGCGATTGCTTCCCTAGAGGTTGGCGTTATTTTCCACCGTCGAAGAATTCGCAATAGACTTTAAAGAACTGCTGGTAAGTAAGATTCCATAGGCTCTACAGAGCGAGCACCCATATCCCGAATCAAACTTCACAACACAAACCTTCACTCATCTTAGGAACGAATTATACCACCGGCATCATTCGAAACTCCCAAGTACCACTCCGTCCTCATTGACGAACTCGATCACATCGGTTGGCAGCGCGTCCGCGACATTGATAAATCCCTCGACAAATTCTCAATAGAACTGAGGTTGGAAAGTTTTGTTTCATAACCCTAATCGTCTTGCTCACTCATAGTTTATTCACAGGGATCAAGCTCAACGAAAGCATATTGTCAGAATCCAGCTACCGACCCAATACCCACTTGTCCCGCCCATCTGTCAGGCCGATCTACCAGATCCCATTCCCATCAAATGGACATCCACCTCCCGATTGATTGATATTCTTCAAATCTACCAAGAAGTCTGTATAGCAATACATTGTTTCTTTTTATGATCGTCTAACCCCGCTTCGTAAATATCAACAATAGGCGCTGCAAAGGTACCAAGAGCTGTGGAATCTCTTGGACGAATTAGACGCCAATACGATACAGTTACTGCAGCAACCTTCCAGAGCCTCAACAGTCCGAAGGTTTTCATTAGGTAAAACATTTAAAATTTTTGCACAGCCCTTAAAATTGGGAATCCTCTCAAATACCGAAACTTTAAAACTCAGGAAACGCATGCGCCATCCAGCTTCAACTTGATCCACATGACCCTCGCAGTTTTCCTCTACAGTTACAACTTTTTGGTCCAGAGTCAAGACTTTCACCCATCAAATCGGCTATCAATAGCAAACGGGGAGACTGGTAATATTATTAAATCCATGACCGTGATATTTCATTATTTGCAGAATTCCAATTTTGTTCACTCTTACCCACACTAACCCACAGCTTTTACCAACCACTCAATCTATCTCAGGTTACCCAACTTGTCAACCTATGCTAACCTGCTCAAACTATTGCCTATACCCGTTCCTGCTCCTCCCTCCCATGGCAATGCCGATGTTGCCACGCGGGAGTCCGCCATCGGTACGGCAATTTCGACTGAAGTAGAATGCCCCATATGTACAGAGTACATGAACGAATACACGAATGAAATCCCTGACCACAGTTGTCAAAACGAGAGATGCGGCAGTTTGTATCATAGGAGTTGCTTAAAAGAGGTATGTTTACAGGAATCACATAGTCACTGATTGTTGCCAACAGCCGGCGCGGAAACAATATCAGTCTTGAGCCATCGATTAATCCATTTTTTGCTGATCTTTTTCTTACCAACTTAAATGTCGTCGTTCGTCAATTTCTTCTCCCATCGGGATGATCTTAATGTACTACCGCCAAAACTCAAACACGCCCGTTGTTAGTATCTACAAGGCACATCAACACGTATCAGTTTTAACACCATCTTTGGGCAATGTCCTGGTGTAGGATGTAACGCTGTAAGTCATCCCCCCTAATTCAGTTGTACCAATATAATGATCCTTTTACTTATATCGCTACTGAAATTCAAATGTCGTCATCACTAACCCTGCCAAACTTTTCGTTTCGTTTCGTACTAGACCATCACATTAAACCTAGACAACCCGCATTAAACCATCCCAATCCCTCCTTCTTATCCTTCTAACCCACCCACGAACTCCAAACAAACTTGTGCGCAAATGGCAAATTTACTATAAATTATATGCAGCAGATACTACTGCAACAACATACAATCATCGTTTCGAATTTCGAGTTTTTAAAACTCCTCGTTCATCCTGTACTTGTACTATCATGTAGTAATTGTAATGAACTCCGAATTATGGATTGTACAAAAACAAACTTGCCAAATCTCTTTAAACTACTCAATCAACAAATCCAATTCCCTTTCCCGAATGGTACTACAAACTCCACACAATCCTTCTCAATCCATCCCCTACCGCCAAATTTTTGTCATATACTTAAATTTTAAATGCTTTTTAATGTATTTAATTTTTACATTCAACCAATCAGCTCGAATAGTTCAGTGGTAGAACGTCAGTCTCGTATTCCGCAACACGCACAAGAATTTATTGTTGGAAAACTGAAGGTCCGCGGTTCAATCCCGCGTTCGAGCATTTTTGAATCTGTAGTTCAGTTCAATTATTTTTATAATGGAAATTTGAAGTTTTTGGGGTACTCAATATTCTCATTTTTGGATCCATTTGGTGTGGATGATTTAGGAATTGGAAGGGACAATACAACTTGATTTATTTTTTATTTTTGAAAAGAAAAAAATGTATGACGAAATTCTGTAGGTTATTGTACATTGTGATTTTCTTTTTCTTTCCCTTTTGTTTTATTTTTTGATTTTTGAAAGTGTAGATCCAGTATTTAATGTCACGGGTGAAGAAGGTTATCCTTTGTATGGCAAAATATGGCACCTATATGGAAAGCGTATACAAAAAACAAATGTTTGGAAGTTGATAAAAATAATAAAATCAGTATAACCAATCAGGATGGTATAATGAATCAAGATGGTAGATTCAAGAAAGGAACGAGGAAAATAAAAAACGAAATGTACCCGAGTAACCCTCTTCCGTTCCATTTGTGGGGACGTAACTCCAAATTCACGAATTGAGTTTCCCCCGTTGTTGATGTCCGTTTTATCAAAATTTGAAGAGATTTCTATATTACGTTATGCAACCGATGCCATCAAATCCCGACATCAAAATCACGACTTGATAAACGGAATACAAGAAATTTCAGAAAAACAAACCCCTTCATTTTTAGATACTAATTCCGGTAACGCTTTCAGATCATTGTTGTTTTGTTTATCTAGGGATCCGAATCGAATGATCAAATCGTCTTTTACTAACCCGGCTTCTTTGGCGGGAGAATCTGGTGCGACGGCGTTCACAATCGCAAATGGCGGGAGTGATTCTGGGGACGCTGTGGGGTGTAGATATGATTCATGTGAGTGAGACGAAGGAAAAGTTGGTTAAAGTGTAGGTAGATGTTACCGGTAGCTGAAGAGGTGGGTTCTGGAGGGAGAGAGTGTAAAGTATGCAGCGTCTTTTCGATTTGGTTCATGAGCGCTTTATGGTCATTTTTGAGGCCTAAAGTTATTTCATGACCGTCATGAGTTCTAAAGAGAATAAACTCTTTCGCCATCCTGTTTATGCAATGAGTAACACATACGGATAATCTGGTTCTTTGCAGAACGAACCGCGTACAGGTCGACATTTGGTATTGGAAATCCTTCCGCATCGACGAGGGCTGTATCGAATGTGACTCCGTGCTGTTCAAGATACAGGACGGAATGTACATATCAGCCAATTTAAGTCCGATATCACAGATCGTGTATCATTGTCACATGAATGTAAAATATAAAACGAACCGATGTTAATACAGCGTTGTATTCGTTGATTTCGTTCTCGATCTTGTCTTTCTCTTGCATGAGTTGTTGCGCTGCAGCCAAAACTTCGGCCCTTGAGGATGGTGGTGTTATATCCGAGGATGTCATCGATTTTGTTGGTTTACTTTAATTTTAATATTGTTATTTGATCACCAGAATGGAAAGATGATGAAAAGCGCCAAAGAGTGAGAGAAGGCGGGCACTGCACGAGTTCGTTCTCTTTGATCTAATTTGCCTTGTCTTGATTAAACGTATAGTTTGTGATGTTTCGAAGAGAAGAGATATATCTAATTCGCATCACCATCTAAAGATTATTATTTCGGATTCTGATTGCCAACATTACTTTACCAACGCATTCGTCACAAACCTAATTCCGTCGACAACCCCCAACCTCATTTCACAATCCCCAAATGACCACATCCGTCAGAACTCCGGCCTCCATTTCTTGGTTCGCAATCTACAATCCATCATTCTCATCCTCTGACGCAACCGTAGCCGACCAACTTCTATATTACTACGCTGCCCCAACATCGCCGCTTTCCAATGACTCGATCAGTGCGAAATTGGAGGACGTAGAGTCAAAGACAAAATCCAAGGATGAATTGGAAAATGAGCAAAATGACTATGTGGTGGATCAAATTGCTCTAAGGAATATAGGATTATCGCAGGCGATTGTGAATTTCTCGACGACTTTTGACGTTAAATCATCATCGAAGTTGTCGTCAAAAGTAGACGCTACAACTCAGAATCAACAAACTAGTGACCCGAATTCCAATATTCCTTCGACTTCGATTTCGACTTCTAAAAATGATGCTTCTAATACTTCAATATACCCCCAACCAAATTTTACGCCCCAATCAAACTTTTGCGTGACACACTCCCAAAAGACACGACTCATAATTTTCCAACCCGATGTTGAATGTCCTTACTACGTTGCCCTCAACTTAAATCTAGCATACACGACTCGTTTTCCAAATTCAAACTCTATTTCACCGTCCCCTTCATTCTCTAGCTCACTTTCTTCGCTCACATCAATTAAAACAGTGGTAGAGTACCTTGACTCTGAGCTACAAGACGATGTTGTCAAGACGTGGTTAACCCAGGCTATTGAAATGTTCAAATTGGTGAAAAAAGGATTTGATAATCTTTGGGATGAAATATCCAGTGACGCGGCTGAGTCAACTCAATCAGATAACGTAAAACCAGGTCTGGGGACAGAAGATTTGGAAGATGGTTCGAGTGACCCGCGGTATATTCATTTTCGAAAGAACCTTTCCAATTTTCGCGTTTCGATAGCGGAATTCTTTGATAAATGGGTTGCACGGTTTTCTCAATTTCTGTCCGCCGACCAACTTGACACTTTTTTTGCGTCTATCCCTGCCACCATCTCCCTCCCCGTCTCTCCTCAATTTCAATCCATCATGACCGAATCAATCAAAAATATTCAAATGCAATTTAATGACGTGGAATATTCAGTTATATTACGATCAACGGGCGGTGACATTACTGAAAATGACGGAAAAGAAGGAAACAGAAAAGGGCAGAGGCGAGAGAATAGATTGTTTAATGAATACCAAGTGCTCTGGAATGATTTGCCGACTCAGAAGGAGGTATTATCGCTTTGGTGGTATCTATCCTTTTTCTTGGATTCTGAAAAAGTGAAAACGGGATTAAGCCATGACACTGCTGAGCAAGAAAGTGAAACAGAAGATTCTGTGAAAGAGAAACCAAAGAAAGAAGATAAAGAACTAAAATCGACTGAATCGAGTTCATCTTTGTTCAGTTTCTCTTATTTTTTTGGCCGACGGAGTACGCAAAAGGGATCGTCTTCACCTCCACCTTCGTCGTCTAAACTGTCGTCTAGACCCGTCTCACCATCACCACAAGAAGCTCAAAATCCTTCGACTTCAGAGCCACTTGTTGAACCCATATCTCACATTGTGAAAATGTATCTAGGGGTAAACCATGAAGAGTACCATGTGATTATTTGGCAGTTACCTGGGTACTGCACATTTTTATTTTTTGTTCCGATTGCCAATTTAAGGGCTCCAAGTGAAATGAGTCTTCAGTCGGTGGAGGAGTCATCAAATTTGACAAAACCATCGGAATCCCCATCCACGTCAATTCCATTACGTTCCGATTCAGATTCTCAATTACCTGAATCCGCTTCCTCGACGTCGCTTGATCCCCAATACTCGAAAACACTTCACACAATCAACCTATCACATGATTTGACGAACTACCTCATATCTTCCTCTCCGCTGCCCCAATTATTCACTTCACGGGTTCAGCTCTCTCATTTACAGCAGTCTTTGACAGAGATTCATTCATTTATTCATATTGATCCAAAAAGTTTGTCATGTTGGAGTAACATTTCAGCTGTATCCAGTATTACATCTTCTCTTCAATCTAACTCGAAATTGTCATCAAAATCAATACCACGATCGGCGTCGCAGTTATCTGCGAAATCGCAATCATCTAATCGGCCAGCCGCAGATTCAAAGGACTCAAAGAAATACTTTCTTCCAAGCATGACGCTTTTACCTTCGTCTTTTTCATTGTCAAAACCTCATCTACCTACTTCCTCTTCTCCATCTCCACCTCCATCACACTCTTCATCGTCAACCTCCACTAAATCAGCAGAGCGAACTACACAATCAAGCATAGACGAAAGGACAGTCTCCCCACTACTTTCGAGATACTTAACTTCCATTGCTTTGCCGTTTTTATCCACCGACAAGTTTAGATTCCCCTATGAATTGGTTGAGTTATATTATTTACCTGCCATCAGCTTCAACACATCCGCAAATTCGACTCTGAAATCCAGCTTGAGCGGCAATCCGAATTCACAGTTGAGTGAAGGGACAGAACAATGGATCACCGCAAAATCAATTTCCTCATCAACTCAGACTTCTTCTCAGTCTTCCGCGTCACCGGATATCTTACTTTCGTTCATTTCGTTGAATGGCGGGTTAAACAAGTCCACTTCGAATAATGGATCGAATGGCGGCGGCGGAAAATCTAGAAAAGCGATGGGATTTGTTGCAGTTCAAGAGACGTTGAAAACATTAGAAACAGACTTGAAGAATGTTAAAGGAGACTAAACCTGTATGGATATTTGACTGTATCATGTAAATCAGGAAAACTGAAGAGCAGCGTTGCAATCATAGAAATTGAAATAGATTAATCAGACAGATGTATAGGATGGTCGGGAACTTCCGAATTACATCGAAGACATGCATAAGAATTATCCGGTGGTGTGGTCGGCGCAGTTGTCCAGTAGGCGCCAAACATTTAGATATTTCGTATCCACCAGATTGATGAGAAAAACAACGCCCAAAGTTGCAGTCTTATAACAAAAATTCCAAAGTGGAAAGAGTACAGGAAAGGTTTACCTGCAAAAAACTTACTATCAGCATTTCGTTTATAATTTATTCGCACCAATAGGCTAGCAATGGCAAAGTTGTGTATAAAGGGATCATAATGCGTGTGCCCCGGATTCCTGGCATCAGCTCGGATAGTTCAGTGGTAGAACGTCAGTCTCGTAAGTCACATCTTGACAACTGAAGGTCCGCGGTTCAATCCCGCGTTCGAGCATTTTGACTCCTTTTTCTATTTTATTGGGAGTAAAGATGGGCGGTATTACATGCACAATGATTGACTTCCGTACATATATTCTAGATTGATTCTAATTTCTCAGTTTTACCTTTCGTATGAAATGGAAAAGCCAAAACCTCAAAAACGGAAGACTCACGAAAAAGACATAGTCTGTTGAATAAGGTTGCATCGAATCGTCAAATGTGATGAATGCATTAGTTTTATGCAAGGGTCATTTGTTTCATTGATTTTATTTATTTTCTGCGGAATATAAATACAAAATGCTATCTCTGATGTGTTGATGTCGGTCGGTTTTTGGGTGGGGGCGACAAGGGCCCGCCAATTGATTACATCACAAACTGCGACCGACAAGCGATTCGCCTGTATCTTCTTACCGTACAGATACGTTTTTGCGATGAATAATTAAATCAGATCAATCATGCTGCTTCTGCTACCATGTCCCTCACTCCTAACCGTAAACCGCTCTTGTCCGTCAAAATAGTCGTCATCGACCACTACCTAACAAGTCCGGGCCCGCTTGATAGACGCTACTCTCCATTCAATGACGGAGTTCTGAAAAAAGTTCCTGTAATCAGAGTTTTCGGGTCATCCGAGAACGGACAACTTGTTTGTCTACATATTCATCAGGCACGTCTGCTGTTGATGATTCCTGACGAGACGATCACTTTCTTAACTGTTTTTGATTTTCGTTCGCTAGGCGTATCCCTATTTTTATGTTCCATATTCAGGATCCACAGAGTCGGCTCAAGGTCTTTCAGATTATAAATTACCAAATTTCTGCTGTCAAAAGTACAAAAGGATTGACTGTGCCATTGTCACCTTCTAGTTCAACTATTCATTTATCAACTGGGCCTCAGTATCAATCATGCCCTTGCGATAGCCCTGAACAGAAATCCTAATGAATGCCAATTTATAGCCGGTATAATCCTTGTTAAAGGTATACCGTTCTACGGATACCATTGCCGCAACGAATACTTTCTGAAAATATACCTGCTTGATCCGTCCATTCAAAATAAGCTTGGCGATTTGTTGCTATCGGGAGCAATAATGAAGACAGTTATGCAACCATATGAGCTCCATATTCCTTACATATTGCAGTTTATGATGGATTATAATTTATACGGCATGGGATGGGTGGGTGTTGAATGGGCTAAGATTAGAATGCCTGTTCGAGGTTTGTAACGGAAATCTGTCCAATTTCTGTATAAGCGAGATTATAATTAACAATTTCTGTTTCACATTGCAAGAATCCGAGTTACGACAAGATTCAAAAATGCATTTCCTAAATTCAAACATCCCGCCTGAGTTAAAGTGGAGTTCGGACACACATCCCACGATCAAGCGCGAAAGTTTTTGCGAGCTGGAAATTGACACGACAGTGATGAATATCCTTTATTTCGTAATTTCTACTAATAATAATCTCAGATGACTTAAATATCCCTTAATTAAGTTTAAACGCATTATCAACCGTGACCTCTTAAAAGAGCGGCCCGTTGACCCCAGTCCACGGATTCCGCCTTCACTCGATGTCCCACCGTCGAACTCAAAATACGTACCATCCCTTGCGTCCATATGGGATGATGAACGAAATCGAAGACATTCTCGAGGCATTGATGTGAAAATAGATAATGTTGCTTCCTCGATGCCTGATGAAATTCGGGTCAGACAGTCGCAATGGGGGTCAGAAGATGAATTAAGGAGAAAGTTATTGCGCTATTTAGAATCCAAACAACAAAGTCAAAGTGGAAGTGACGACGGAAGAAAGCATAGCAGTGGAGTCGAATCGAATGTCCGCACTATGAAAAACTCTGCTGAGTCAAAAGATAATTTTCGTTCATTACGGGACATTACTCTTTCGAATCTTACTTCCTCAACTGATAATGAAATGGAGCCTCGCACATCTCCTAAGTCGACTACATCCACCCCACCTTCGCAGACTGTCCCAACCGCATTCCAATCCGTTACGGCTTTGTATCCAAAATCTCTTTCGCAAGTATCACCTCAAAGATCGTCACATCTTTTCGACAATGAATCAAATCTGATTACCACAAGTCCTGTGGCTCCTCAGGAAGGATTCAGTTTCAACGATTTTGATGATTTAGTTATTATGTCACAGATTCAGAAAGGAAATTATGGAAGAAAAGGTGCAGCTACTCAAGTAGAGGATAAAGGAACGAGCGAGCTAAATCAACCGAACCTTGTCCGAAAGACGCCGTCCGTTTCTCCCTTGGCTAGTGAGCACGAAAATGTCATAATCGATGAATTGCTATTGAGTCAACATGTTGGGCGAAGTGAGGCTTCGCCGCGCAAAAATAGGCAGGAATTGGAGCGTGAATATGAGTACATGAGTGGAGATGAAGAGGAAGATGAAGAAGAAACAGAGAAAATTTTGAATTGGATGCTTGATGGCTGCCATGATGACAAAGAGCAACTTGACACACCGTCCAAGATATACAACCAGAAAGTAAATGACCCAACCCATGATTCGCCACAGAAAATCAACGTTCAATATGAAGAGGAGAAATTCCAGGAACCGAAATGGATTGATGAGGATATAGAAGAAGATGACTTTATCCATGACGGAATTGATCGAAAAATTGACGATTGGATATCTCAAGAATCTGAGTCACGGAGGTTGCTTTCCGATCTAGTCCACTATATTAATTTACACTAACATAAACAATTCACTTTCGTGTTGGACTTCAGATCGCAAGATGAGAGTCCGGATGACAGGATGTACGAAATCACTGTAGATGATATTGAAGATTCATTGCAAGACTCACCTGCTCGATCTGCCGCTAAACTCGGAAGTCACAATCAACATCAGAAGACTCCAAAACAAGAACAGAACCGCATACCGCAATTTGATGGCGGTTCTGACGATAAACTTGATAAAGAAGTATATCCGAAGAAAATTGGGATAAAGAGAAGGAAGGTAGAAAAGGACAAGAAATACAGATATTCTCAGGTGGTCGCTGTCGGCCCCCGGGAAACTGGTGCAGCTGCTTCAAGCTCTGGTTTGTTGAATGAGCCAAGAAACTTCAACGACTTTTCCGAGTTCAAAGCTCCCGAGGTAACTCTTGACTGTCAAATCATTGGAAAATTGTATGGTAGTCTGAATATTATCCTCTTATTAAAAATATAGATTCCGCGTAAGCGTAAAGTGGACCTCATTGATGAGATGCCTAATCCTGTTTATTCCTCAAATGCCACTTCCAATAAGCGAACCTCCACTTCGAATCAACATAACCTCTCCGCAAATGAATCTAACCGATCCAGAGTTGAAGCGGCCAATCATCAGGCATTTCAGCGCGCTTCTTCTTCATCATCATATCGGTCCGGCTCTGTGCGGCAGGTACAAAGACGTGATTTTAAGCAATCATCGGCGGTTGTATCCGCCAATGGCGACCAGTATAAACTGGCTCGTATTACGAGGCTAACTGCTCCGGTAAAGCAAAATAGTGAATATTTCACAAATTCTTTGTACGGAATGTGGTCACCTCCATTAAAGAATCGCGTCGCCGAAAAGGGGCCGTTCGATGATCCACCTATACCTATCTCACCGACGGTGACCACAAATGACAATAGCGTATACGGAGACAACAAAATACCATCAAGTGAGTCAGTACAGACGTCCTTTAATCATTTTAATGATCACTACGACAACGACTCGTCGATTATGGACTTGAGCGACTCTTATTCGTTGAAAAGCGGTTAGTTGATATCAAATCCGCATTGTGTATCCATTTGTACAAGGATTCTTACGTAAGATATATTTCGTAGCGTATCGATATCGCAGTTTGCCGCCAACTACAACCGACATTATTGCTGGTTTATTAAAGGACAAAATCCCCGTTCAGGTCTGGAAAGAGCCCTTTTACAGTAACTTAAATGATGTTTCGACCAGAATAACAGTTTACGCTGGGAAAGAGTTTAAGATTGGGTCTGATTCTGGGGGTATCAAAGACTGGGATTGGAATTCTAGGAGCAGTCAGCTTGACGGCGATAAGTGGCTGGAGAACAAGAAGAAGTGGAGTGAGGAAAAGTAGTCATCATCAGCGTCCTTTGTGATTGAAGAAATTGTATTAACATACTTGTTGCAGATATTTCGTTCGCTCTTGGACGCCTTTAAGGTCTCCGCCGTCCAGGGTGCAAGTTTGCCATGATTGTGAGTCAGAGATGCATTCAACAGCTGGTCCGTTGAATAAATCACAACTTGCAAAGAAATCTCAGGTAAATCCCATGGTGTAGTGATATATGAACTATTCATTCTAAATCATTATTTCTAACGTCGTTTTAGATTGAACCGCCCACTCAGAAGAACAAATTTGGATTTAAATTTAGCCAGCATTTTTCAGAATCGTCGCACACGGAGAAGCAGCACTTAAATGTGATGAGTTTGGAAGTTCATGGTGACTAGAACTTTCGCCTTGTCGTTGTCTGAAGCAATGAGTCACTCTAAAGTTCAATTATAGCTTCATGCCGCGGCTCCTTGCTTCCGGATCCATTGCACGATCCTGTCCAGTTTATTGTGTACTGTTTGCAGGGTGATTCCATAAGTGCAGAGTTGACCAACGGCCAGCTACCCCGGTATGTTGAATACACACTTCTTACCTCATTACAATTGATTTAATGACGTTGTTTTTTTGTTCGCCTTTTAGTTCTCAAATTGGGATAATTACGGTACGACAGGAGTATGAAGTCAACAAATACGGAATATGTGGTACGTTCATATTGTCGCGCAAAATAAGTGATTTTGATGTTTCGAGACTGTTATCATTGATGTCTATCACCGCAGGTTATCCAATTGAATACGTAAAGACTGAGGAAGGCCTGTTTCATGCACTTATTCGAAAGGTTAGAGAATTCGATCCCGATATTATTGCCGGTTATGAAATCCACAATGAGTCATGGGGTTACCTTATCGAGAGAGCGTACAAGTCATATAGTGAGTATCAGTTGCTTCATGGTTTCATTTG